GGCAACATGACTCTCTTTGTGACTCTTTCTTTCCCTCCTTCCTCTCATACACCTGAAACCTTTCTTTCCCAGTAACATCACCAAGGGCCACGTCACTTAGCAACAGCCTTTCTGGTACAGACAGACATGGTTTGACATTTATATAGAGAGATATTAACCTAATGAGATGGTGCTGGTAAGGATCTGTTGATGGAACGGGGAAAGGGGCTTTTCTATTTTTTCCTTTAGTTGACTGCAGTGGACCTTATGATCAAAATACGGTTTATATCAATCCGTCTACATTTGTGTGTTTAATGAGTTTGTACAAATAAAAATATGGGAAGGAATCTACTGTGCTATTTCTAGCATCCTGACAACACAATACAATTGCTCTTCTAGTGTTGTAGATGCAGGAAAAGGAAGCTATTCATCTGTGATAACAGTTTAACACATTGTAGTCATTAGGTTAAAGTAGGCAGAGACAAAGTCATTTCATTTATTTCTTGACTGTTTAAAATATAACGAATGTTCTCAGTATGATCTGCCCTAAACTCGGGAAATCTATTAAATTGTGGCTAACACTTTCACATGTCTTTATCTTATACTTTGTCTATTAAGAGTATAATTGTGATATAATCTCAACAGATAAGGTTCTGTGTGATTTTTGTTGTTGTTTTGTTATTGCTTGTTTAGAACTCTGTTTCTCCTTTGTGATATAATTTACTCTACTCCTTTACCTTTTGTATTTGCTGAAGTTGCTATGATGCCATAGTTTATTCTTAATTTTTTAAAATGCTTTTTGAAAATCCAGGAGTGTGAATATGCATATGTGAATTCTTTCTTCAAAATTTACTGTCTGGTGTTTGTCACAAACAAGGAGATTTTACAGTTCTGGCAATTCCTTTCCCCAGAGCAGCCATGTCAGTCTCTTTGGAATGTGTGCATTTGAGCTTTGAGTACTACTTTGACAGCTTCAGCTCCCCATGCGGGGACATGAGAGATGCCTCCCACAAGGATGGTAAAGCATCAAATGTCCGGGCATCTCCTAGGCAATGTCCTTGCAGACAGCCAATTATTTCACACCAAAAGCAACTTGCAGTTTCTCAAGTCGCTTCTCACAGGAAAAAAGTCATCTTATTTGTGTATTCCTTTTACCAATTTAAGCTAACTTTTGTGCAAATTAAAAAGCAAAAAAAAAAAAGCTCTTCTGAGTTAGCATTGGTATTTGATGAAGGAGTTGATGAAGAAGCTAATAAAAAATATCGTATAGACCAGGGGTCCACAAACTTTTTAAACAGAGGGCTAGTTCACAAGTCCCTCAAACTGGTGGAGGGCCGGATTATAATTTGAAAAAAAAAAACCATGAATGAATTCCTATGCACTCTGCACATATCTTATTTGTAGTGCAAAAAGTACTTTAAAACAATACAATAATTAAAATGAAGAAGAATTCTCATAAATATAAGCTTATTAGTATTTCAATGGGAAGTGTGGGCCTGCTTTTGGCTGATGAGATAGGATTGTTGTTGTTGTTGTTGTTGTTGTGTGCTTTCAAGTTGTTTCAGACTTAGGTTGACCCTGAGCGATGGCCGGGTAAATTACCTTGGAGGGCTGCATTCGGCCCTTGGGCCGTAGTTTGAGGACCCCTGGTGTAGACTGTGGGTGCTGCTGATTTGTTAAAAAAAACTTCCCTTTCTCATCAGAGGTCAGACTAAAACCCATGTAGTTCAAACTGCAAACTGCACGTATTTCATTCACAAATTACAATAATCAACAATACTAAATTATAACTTCTGCTAAAATCCAATCTGCAAGGGGTTCCTCACCTGATCTAAAAACGTTTACTATTATTTTGAATCAGTGATCATAAATAGGATAACAAACATGAATGTGTTGCATGTAATTGAATTTCGCTTTGCATCTCTGAAAGATGTTTAATTAGGGTTTTTCCTGAGTAGATAGGCATGGGATCAAGATGTACTTTGCACCTCTAGAGGTTGTCGAACTGTGGCTTACTCTGAAAAACATATGGAATTGAGACACATTTTTCAGCCCTAGACATTATTGCATCTGCATATATTCTTAAGTAGAAATCACCTGTCCTTCATAATCTTGGTGGAAAACATCCAGATTGGGAAATTTGCTTCAAATTCAGAGCCTTGATACAATAATGTTCTCCTGGCCATGGAAAAGCTCCTATTGATATCCTTTATATAGTGATAGCTAAAAGTCAATCAGTGGGGCTGTAAACCTACAGATGTAAAGCAAGACCCTGTCAATCTAACACTCACTTTAGGATGACCATCCAGTTCACTCTGTGTGGCTCTTAGAAGAATGGTAGAAATAGGATTTTTACTTGACTTCCACTTTGAAATCCAATGTTTCTAAAAATAAAACTGATGTGTTTGTTGTTGCTGGATAGATCTGACCTTGTGATGTACTTGTATTCTAATGATTTGTGTATTAATATGTTTGTCCCTTATGACTATGCTAAATATTTTGTCATGAATTTACATTTTGTGAGTCACATGGAATATTTGTAACTACTAGTGGGATATAAAAAATAATGAATTCCACTTTTGAAAGGAATTCATATTTACAATTGCTTTCTATGTTTATTAATGATGCCTGGAGTGGATCCAAAGTGTCTGAAGAGTTGAAGACTAGTGTGTTTATTACAACATAATTTTTTATGCCTCGGTGGCCTAAATCCAACATGACTGACAGTCGCTTTGGGATTTCTGGTGCCTCCTCTTCCCCCTTTTTAGGCTTTGAAGATAGGTTACATTTCAGAGGAAAGCAAAGGCAAACTGCCTCTGAAAATTCCTTGCCTAAGAAAGCCCTATAAAATGCATGGGGTTGCCATAAGTTGACAGGAGTCTTGAAGGCACATCTATACACATAAAGTTTTATAAATCTCATTCCATAATTAACTGTTTCCAGACATAGTCATCACTATTCCAAGCTTTTCTTGACAGCAATGAGAGAGAGCTGGAAAAAAAAGTAAATAAAAAAGGCTATAGGTTTTTAAGAAGGATGTGCTGGAACGATTGTGCATTTCACAATACAGTCCTAACTATGTAATTTTCTGGGTCAGCTAATCTTCTCTGTTATTAATTATTACAAGTTAAAGATTTTAAAAACGCTTTGTTCATTACTCTGTTTATAATGGGAAGTCCTTTTCACCCCAGGAGATCACTTTCATTCCTGTTTAATGGAGAACTGCGCCTGAGATAGACATTTGCCTCAGACTTATTTGAATTCATGGCTGACTGACCAAGGTGTTAGCTAGCAATCCGTTGTAAGACCCCACCTCAACTCTCACGCCTGTCATTTAATAAAAACGCAACAGTTTTTCATTATTTCCTTGCAGTGAAACATAAGAGTCAAATCCTGATCTACTGTAATTTGAATGAATGTCTATGAGAACTGAGGGTCTCTCATTTTCTTCCCCCACTTTTAGCTGAAGCTGAGAGATGGAGCCCCCTGAAGTTACCATCATTGAGGGTGTGGGGGATGAGGTGACAGTGGTGGTTGGTATCGTGGTCCTCGGCATGGCCCTTGTTCTGGCCTGGCTTTCCACATATGTTGCAGATGGGAACAACCACTTGCTGGGAACTGTAGTGCCTGCTGATCATTCATCCAGGATCCACCTGAACCCCATTGAGCACTATGTGGGGAA